CGAGTCGTCCTCGGAGCCGAGGGAGATGCGCTCCCGGATCAACAGCCCATCCAGGATTTGAACTGGAAGAGCCCCGAGGGTCTGGGTCAAATCGCCGGAGTGACTGTCGACCAGCTGGGGCGACCCGTTATCTTCCACAGGGGCAATCATATCTGGAAATACGAGTAAGACGCAGCGTTTTTTCACTCAAGTAAATTGACGCCCCACCCCCCGTACGAACAACCCCATCCAGCAGTCTGATACGATTTCGATTAAATATATAGGCGGGTATAGGGGGGTCGAGCGGAAAAGTAGTATACGAGACAGTTGGATGATTCAACGAGTAGGTATATCGTATTACTCTGTAGCTTGCTCGTGTGCCTAGAGGTTGTGGTGGCATGATGGCCCGTATAACATTTTAAACGCCCATGCAATCGACGTAGAATAAATCGTTCGCCTCTTTTAGCTCGCCGGGATTCGCAGGGAAAAATAATTAATGCATAACGTCCACCGTAATGTTTGCTTGCGCGCACACACACACACACGCATTGAAAAAGTGAAGACAAGAAGCGATAAGTTGAGAATGACTGGTCCGACGAAAGCCAAACATGTTAATCTATTTGCTCAGAATCAACGCTCTCTCTCTCTCTTTCTCTCGAGACAACAGGTAGTCATTTTGTTCGTATACCTGCGCGGTCGAGAGAAAAAGACGAGGCAAACAAAAATCCGAGCCCTCGCGAGTAAGGAGTCTCGTTTTCTCGGGCCTGTTTATTCACACCTTGACGATGTTTTCCCTGTACTTAATATGGGTACTCACAAGCAGATACAAGCGAAGAAAGACCGACCGCCAATGAGCAAGCAAAGGCTTTTCAAACGAATGAATAAAAGAAAAAATTTCTAAAAACGTGTGTCGCGTCCACCCTATCCATTAACGCTTGTCTCATGTAAGTATAGTAAAAAATATGCAAATCCCGATACTTAGTGTTTCAAAAAAAGTATAACATGTTCACGTCTTGTTTTTGTTAGCTGTTCATTGAAACATCGAATATATAATTGTGGGTGGACGATTAGGTATACGTATCGCGTACAGCATTAATCATGACTGTCCAATTGATCGATTTATTGATGGTATTTAATAATTTATTATTATTATTATATGTAAGTATACCAAAGCGAGATATCGAGCGAGCCGTGTATTACACGCACACGTAGGCGCGAGGCCCGCCACTTTACACGACAACGGCACAGCTTCCTCGTGGATCCCGCTTACATTGTGTTGGGCTCCCAGCAGGTACGATTTTTATCCCACATTGTGATCGCGCGAGGAGCCCCGATACACCGTACACACAACATAAAGTTCTTTGCCTAACAAGTGTGGGGAAAAGAAAAAAAAAAAAAAAAAAAAAAAAAAAAAAAAAAAAATTACACTAAATCCATGAATGGAATGTAAATGTTCAAAAGAATTTCAAAGAATTTTCTTGTACGTTACAGAGGTAAAACAATAATCATTGTATTTGAAATTCCAGTCATTTAGCAATCCACACGGGATAGCCGCCTGCCCCAATGGCACGGCCCTGTATGTGTCGGAGATCGGGCCAAACTTGGTGTGGAAGTTTAGGTTGCTGACGAGCTGGAAAATGTAAATTGAGACGTAAAAATCGGTGTCGCCAGAGTGTATTGATTCCCCCCTGGCCCGCCTACACATACTTGATATTTATATGCGTGCACGGGATTCCAATCTGCTCGACGACCATCAATACTTGAGTAGATAATATTACGCTGATGATGCCCCGATACTGGGAGATATGTTTTTTTGCGTGGGCCTGTGCCTGATGTATGTATGCATGTACGAGGAGAGAAACGATGAAAAAAACACAAGGCCGATGCCGAATAAACAACGAGATACAACGAGAGCAGCCGCGGATATAGGAAGCGGGGAGATGGAGGATAAGGGCTCGGCCTTACTCCGTGCATGTGTGAACTGTGAAGTTATATGGTATACACACGAATGAATGTGTCCGGTGTAGGGGTGAAGACACGGATGAGTACGTACGTACCTACGCACATGGGCGCATGTGTGACGTAAACACGCACACATACTACATTCACTCGTGGGTGTGTGTGTGTGTGTATATACATATATTATATATGCGTACGTATGCATTGTTTGCGGGTATTGGTATAAAGACGTGTACTTATTTGAGATGCAAATGAAAGAGAACGATTCGCAAGAAAAAGGTATAGGTAGGTACGTGGAGACAGGCAGAGCTCAAGAACCTACTTATACCCAAGAAACCAGTTCTCGTGTACCTTTCTTTTCGCCACTACATCTATTAATATGTTACAATAATAGTACACCCTAATGTACAAACAGCATCACCAGTCGCGTAAGATGTTTACATTTTCAAATGTTGATGCATAATAAATCCACCACATCATTCAGATGCCGTCTTGAAAAAAAAAAATACCATTTTTATTGTTTTATGCTCTGCTGCACATCCGATTAGTGTTTCAACTATATACTACAGCTTGTTTATTATAGTAATAAGCGACGAAATCATGTAATACGTACATTTTCCATAGAACCGAGATTATTAATTTTTTACTGATGTACTTCACTTAGGAAACATATTAAGTTATCTCTACAAATTCTTTAACGAATGTTTATCATTCATATTTTTATTGTTGTTGTTGTTGTTGTTGTTGTTGTGATACTTATTTTAAATAATAAGTCTTAAACTTATTGCAAGACACACGCCATTTCAGGAGTCAGGTATATTATTTTTCACCTTTAGTTGAAACTTATTATTCTGCTTCCACTGTGAATACTGTACAATTGACTTTCATTATATTTTGAACAAAATGACATACGTTGTACCTACAATCATCGTGCAAATTTTTGTATCGAATTGTTTCCTATTTACCTTTTGTACTCTTACAGTACATGTAGCAACATAGTTGTACTTGGGATGGCGTCTTACTTTATTTTCCGTAATAAAAGTAAAATTAAGAAACCAATTACGACTTCTCTTTGTTTTTATTATGAGATTATATTTGCTAAGTCAACATAAGATGAATCTGTAAGTTACATGACAGCGCAATTCATAGCTCAGCAAGTTCAAACTGTGGAAAAAAGGACATACAAAATTAAATTCTTCAGTAAAATATTAAAACACTATCAAGATCTGGTTAAACTATAACTTTGAATTCATCTACTTACACTAAAGGATTTGTTGAACCAAAGTTAAAAGCATTGATCTGTTTGTTCCATGAATATGGTATATTATGCACTTGGTGGACATGACATCAATAATAATTTTATTACAATTAACAGTCGAGTATAAAACATTATTACTCACGATAACATTGGCCGAAAATGTGATTATTAATCTACAAGCTTTCAATATTATATTACGATCTAAGCCCGGAAAAGTAAAAAAGTCTCAGATCGTCCGGGTGCGCTTACTTGACAAATTTTTTTGACAAGTTCATAATTATACGCCATCTATTTATCCTTAAAAATACCATTCAAAGTTGTTATCAGGAAAATCGTTGAAATTCTTTTCAAAACTAGCTTTTTACTGTCGTTCTAAATAAGTAGTTGAAAAATACTTGTACACAATTGAACAAAATAGGCCTTTCGATAAAATTATTTTTTTTTTATTTTGGATTATGTAATTTACAATAATCTGATGTTTTATTCAAACCAACATTATTTTACTCTTTTATGCATAGTATTTACAATGCTGTTTTNAATAATAGTAAGTATACAAATATATATATGCACGCGTCGAAGAAACATTTTTTACTTTCAAACAAAAACAGCTCGGGATTTTCATCTTATCCTCCATTTACTTGACGTACATTTCACAAGTTCCCTTATATCCAGAGGTTAAATATTAATTTTAATCAAATATTGATAAATTGAAAAATAATAATCATCACAATGAAAAGTACACACACACATAAAAAAGTACGCGAATCAATAAAAAAACAAAGTAACGATTAGTATAGGATCTAAGTATACTGTATTAACAGTTTATGAATAACTATTTATAATTTCGTGCCGTACGAGTCTTTAAAGGGCTGAAGGTCTTTGTATTGACTATCCTTATTTATGACATCACCTTGTCCCATGTAATTACCTATAATTTTCCGAGAATTTTGCACCTATCGGCGATCGTATCGAGTAAATGTTGCACGTACATTGGGATATTGTTGAATCTGTCGAACGTATGACTTATGTTTTTTTTTTCTCGATGGCCTGTACAGATTTTCTGCGACTGCGAGTGCCCCACAGCCTGACGATGATGAGGCGCGGTGACGTGTGCGTGGCGGACCGCGAACACCAGAGGATCGTCTGCTTCAATCTGACGCGGTACTTGGCTGCAGAGCATCAGCGAGAAGTCAGCGGTGCCGGCGCGGCCGAGCAAATGCTTTCGTGGATGCCCTTGACTATTCATCGGCCGGGCGTCTGCAGGATTTTCGGCGTTGCTTCGCACGGTCTGTACATGTTTATGTCTCCGAGTAGCCAAATGTCCTCTTGTATGGCGCGAGCAATGTACGAGTCTTACATAGCCTGATAGCCACGTTTTAAATTATATATTTGTTTCCGAGGGAACCGATGCATTGTATAATTTAATTATTTTCTGCCAAGGTCATTTCTCATAGTTTAAGTAAATCCATGCGCACAATCGACAAAATTTGTTAAGAAGTAAAATTGTTCCATGCTATTCCTTTAAGAGGGTATATTTTTTTTTTTTTTTTTTTTTTTTTTTTTTTCTTTCATCACCTGAACTTCTTTAAACAAAAAAGTCAACACAAGCAAATAAAAAGGTGCGGCGAGAGATACTCAGAGATATTAAGAATAAACTCTACACTTATTGATATGTTACAATTGTACAGGTCCTGAGTATTACTCGGGTTTGAAATAATATTGCTCATGCCTGCGAAAACGTAAAAACTTATTTTTATGCCTAAATATATAGTCACTTACTCACCGATATGTAAATTCTATACAGGAGATCTCCTCTACGCTATCAACGGACCCACAACGCCGGATAATCCAGTGATGGGCTTTACCCTCAGTCCCAATCACGGTTCAGTTATAGCTAACTGGGGACCAACATTCGACGTAAGCGACTTTCTTATTCTTACTATCAAAACGCAATCAAATTCTAACGTTTAAAAAATAGTGCAGCTTCCTTGGTAGCAATGTTATACTACGTAAACTAGCTAAAAACTCGTCAACGTGTTGTAAGCCCGTTTACTCACGTATACGCGTTAGCGAGTCTCCAGCGAATTTATATGTATAGCAATTTTCTACCAGGGGTTTTTCTCTTTGAAATCACGTTGGTATATAATATCATTATACAACCTTACAGTTGGTCAATCGTTGAGAAAATTGGTCATTCAAGTGATGAAAAAAAAAAAAAAAAAAAAAAAAAAAAAAAAAAAAGAGTACAAGGGGGTGCAAAAAAAGGGGGGGGGCAGGGCAAATGGAACGGAGACAAGTATTTGTACCTGTACCAGTAAATGCAGCGTCTTGGAATGAATAAAACAACCATAACAGTCATACGTGCTTCTCCTGTTAGCAGCTCCCCTCTCGAGCCCGTACCGTTTCAATTCGTCTTTAAAAATGCAACTTTTGCAAATGCACAATTCCGCGTATTGAGGCGATTTATATATGACCCCACACACGTAAATAATTTTGTTGCTGTCGTCGTAACCATACACCAACTTTTATTGGCGCACCCTGTGACTTCAAGTACGTCATCTCTTTCTCTCTCTCTCTCTCTGTCGTTTAAGCGTATCAATTAAATTATTATTATTACCATCTTAATAGGTATTTGTTTCGTCTTTTGCATTTTTGATTTACACTTTTATGCATAACATTCGCTGTACAGTTTAATATTTCATTTGGTCTTTTTTGTTGCGAACTTGACGTCATATTATATTTTTTTTCGTATGAATGTCTGTGTTACTTATGTTTCTGTATAAACAACTACTGCATATTAAATCATATTATATTGACCATCATTCTGTACATGGAGTATTTGTTCATGAGATACGTGCGTGTAAAATTTTATTATTGTAAAAGACATTGCGTCTTATAAAATACTAGGCTATTTTTGGAGTTGGAAAAATGAAATAACTTAATTATACCGGAATGTCGTGTATTATAGTATACTCTTCTGTCCGATTTAAAAAAATCTCACGCAATTGAGATGGTGAAAGTGTGGCTCGTGGCTAGTGTGGCAGTGCTGGTGATTGCGACGGGTGCCCTGGGGGCTGCCGTCGTCGGAGCCGACCTATACGACGCCCACGATGGCTTCAACGGTCTTGGCAACGAGCTGGCTTACGAGAGACGCGAAAACGAAGCCATCGCGAGCCTCTACGAGAACGTCCTCGATGCCCTCCAGGTGATCATTACCGCATACATGCATGTACACCTACTACTTTCATTGTTGATATTCTTCCTGTCTTTTTTTTTTTTTTTTTTTTTTTTTTTTTTTTTTTTTTTTTTTTTTTTTTTTTTTTTT